CCGAGATGGGCTCTACTTAACGTATAACATATTTTGCGTAACGCAGCGCAACGCAATTCCGCTAGAATCCCCCGAACGCCACCCGGGGATGAAAGCACCTTCGATTCCGGGCTCATCTCGCGCGCCCAGCCGGCGGGCTCGTCGTCGTAAAGGTGTTGCGCTTGTGCCCGAGGGGAAATTTATCATGTCCGTTTTGTCGTGTGCGCACACGTGCGCGTCAAAAATGCGTCGTATTTGAACACGAGGCATTTCAAAGGGGATAGGTATCAAAGTCGCGTCCATTATTCGAATGGATGTCATCGAGCTCGCCGAGCTCTCTCGTGCTCCGTCTGTCCCCCTCCCCCCCCCCTCACCCTTCGCGTCGTGTCTGTGACGCGCGATTCTCCCCCTCGATGTTAGCGATTTTCTGTGGTTTCGGTTGTCAGCTCGTCCCGAGCACGTCGCGACGGTGCGAGCTTTGATGCTGCGAATGTGCACCGCGCTCGCGCATGAGGCTTGTTCCGAAAGTTAGCCGGGCATTAAGCGACGTCGTAGGGATGCACGATCTACGCAAAAGGGGGAACGCGCCGCGGTTGCAGTTTCGAGGCTGTATATATATGTATAGCGGAAAGTTTTGCATTTTGGGCGAACCGCATGAATAATTGTTGCCTGCTCGGCGGAAAAATTTAATGGCCCGAATGTTGGCTTCGCGCGCCTTCGGGCGTTAATTATTATTGGTATCAAAGCTTAATTTGTCCAGCGTTTCGGGACGTATCCCCTTAAGCGCGATATCGCAGTTACGATATGCAATTACATAAAAAAGTGAAGCAGTACCAGTGTGATGCAAAGAAATGCATTTGAACCAAATTCTGTTCTGCTAAACGTTACTAACAACTCATCAACAGAGTCTGCTGTGGCTCTTACTAAATTCTAGGGCGTAAATGCACGTTCGAAAACAGAAGAATAGGCTTTTCATAGTAGATGATATTATAAATGAGATTGCGAGGGGATGAAATAGTCTCTTCTAGCAATTCTAAGTCACTTCAAGTCATATATATATACATATATACGGTGTGATATTAATATCCCTTCTTTTAATATCATAAATTAAGCGCACACATACATTCATAATGCGTCGCAAATGAAGCATCATACCTGTTTAGAAATCGCTTTAACATAAAAGGCAACATATTTTTGCACAGGTTTAATTGATTTTGGTTAATTAGCAACAACGTGCACGAATACGGGCGCTTTCTTAAAACGAAATGCTCCTTAATTGAATTGATGAAAAAGGAGAGTCGCAGCGATATAAACGTTGAGTATTCATTGATTTCCCGTGTAAACACTGCCGCTTTATTCTCCCGTCTTATATCTGAGGTTTCGGCCAATGGAAGTAAGATTTCACTGCGAGATCTGTACACACATTCGTACGCTACGTACCGAGCGCAACTTTACGGTAGTTTCTGGCGTTTGCGGCGAGGAAATTAACGGCTTTCGCGCGCCTTGCGTGCGGCGACACAATTTTACATCTGCGTTCGCAAACTCCGCGTCGTAATAATGGGAACAGCTATTACCGTTAATAGTCCCTCTTTTCAGTGAGATTTTATTGATTTCGGTGCTACACTTGGAACTGAATCGTCGGTATTATGTGTAGCGTTTCAGTGAAAATACACTGACTGTACGCAGCCCGACATAATAGTCTTAACATGTCATGAAACTAGGTTATTAAGATCCTCTAGTCGTACGCAATATTGATTTATTATTTATCGATTATTGAAAGAAGCGGGAATGAAGTGTTAAAGTATCGTAAACATTTACACTATTGAAATCTGTTTTGTATTCGCTTTTCCAAAGTAATTAATCTTTTTTTTTAATCCGTATATAACATGTCCTGTAATTATACTGAATATCCAGGCTGTTATTGTCGATAGCACTTTAGAAATCGCATCCGTCATTTTTGAGCCTCTCCCTCTCTCTAAAGATCAAGAGCGGGACATCGATCGCACATAGCAGCCATCTCGTGACACAGAATTGAGATCGTAATGGCGCTACCGCATTAAGAAACTCGGGGGAGAACAGTAGTTCGCGAAAGTAGTAAAAAGTGCATGAATGCGGCAGCTGTTTACCGCAGTGAAACGCGTTAATCGCGAGGGATCTCGTGACGTAGCGGCGAGAGGCGAAGATAAAACGAGGAATGGGAAGGGCCGCGACGACAGATTCGTCCAAAGTTCGCGGTTGCCAGCAGTCAGATCGATATTTCCTCGGTCGCGAACTTTTCGCCGTCGCAGGACGCAAAGTAGATCGGCTGTCATTCCCGATTTGTGTCTCCGCGACCGATAGAGCTTCTTGCGACACACGAACTTCGCGATTACTTTGCGCGGATAGCAGACTGCGCCGACACACATTTCTGCGAATCAGTTTAAGCATTTCGGACTCTTCCCCCGCCCATCCCCTTTTCGTAGTTCTCGCCGCGACTGACTTCCCCTTGTTTGCGTTATTTCGAACACTCTGCGAGATCCGCCTCGATGTTCTGCTTGTCCCGCCATATTCTTCCGTTTGAATAACGCGAATAACGTGTTCCGTGAAACTTCGGAACGCGCCATTACGGTTTCGCTGTATTTTTTTTTTTCTTTTTGCTTCATTTTCCCTCTTCCTCACGGCGCCGATATATCTTGTATAAAGTCTTTCAGTTGGAAGAGCCGAGACATTTAATGGTCGGAAACGGGGAATCCGCGCGGCACCAAAAATTAAGTGTCTTACATTCTTAAGATGGATCTATCCGGTAGCGCCCCCCCCCCCTGCGCTCTCGTCGTTTGCGCTAAGAACATTAATTATCTAGAGGGAGTTTCTTCCTCGAGAGGAGGAGGAGAGAGAGAGAGAGAGGAGCCCGGCTGCATTATCTCCGTCGACGTGTTTACCATCGTCGTTTCACCCGCGTCACGGCTCTCTGCTTTTTTCTTCTGTCTCCCATCGTCGACATTCCCCGATATAATTTATAGCGATATCGTCGTTCCAATCGTAAACAGCGTACAAGACTAGCAAGAACGGATGTATCGAAGTATGTTAACTATCCCGCGCCGATATTGCTGCGGCCGGGGGGGTCGCGGGCGGAACATCATCATTATCACGTGCGACACGCGAGAACCGAAAGGATTTCACCGGGCCCGGTTATCTCGGGCATACAAAACGGGGTCGCATTCGATGCCGCGATATCGCATGGGGGTTAATGCGAAGTTAATCTTACACGACCTCGACACCACCACCGCCACCGCCATCGCCGCCGCATGCGGCACCGGAGGGTTTCCTGACCTGAGCGCGCAGAAAAGGGCGACGACAACCGTTGCTCCTGATTTACCTTTAATAGCTTTTAATGCCTTCCCGTCGGAGGCACGAGCGGTATTAGTAGGAGGGGAGAGGGGGTAGCCCGTCCCTCGTAGTTTTCTTTTCCGAACGACGAAACTCCACGGCAAGAATTATGAGCTTCCGGTGCTCCGGGCGCCTTCCGCGAAAAATTTCGATCGGGGTTCCGTGGATGTTTCAACTTCATGTCTCTCTCTCTCTCTCTCTCTCTCTCTCTCTCTCTCTGTCTTTCCGTATAAGTATTATTTTTTTCGGCGGCGCTATGTCGCGACGCTTCACAACATTTGTTCACCTCGATTCCGCGAGGATCGCTCGAAACAAATCGAAATGCTGATTGCCGGGTTAATTGACATCGCCGTAAAATGGATATAACAGATAACATCGGTCAACAAATTTCGCATCATATATTGCATCTTTTTTGAATTTTAATTCTTTTATTTATTTTTATGTGCGTTGAAACGTGGAAAAATGACAAACAAATTATTTAACTGTAGTTCAGGAATTATAGGCTACATTTTAATTTCTGTAAATTATTAATGAAATGTAAAAATGCAACGATATATTTTTATTGTGATTTTTTATTTTTATGTTTCATGTTGTCAGAAAAATTAAGATTCTTTTTGAATGTTATATTATTAGGCGTCTTTTAATTCTCGAAATAAAGAATATTACAACGAAAGAATGAAAGCGGTCTCTATTTTCCTACAAGAAATTAAAATACATATCTCATTCATAAGCTTTTATAAGACTGCTTATACACACTATCTCAAAATGAAATATTAGCTTCAAAAGAGATTATTCGGGAACATTTCCTTTTTTCTACATCACGGAAACTTCACATATCAAATTTCTTTTTGATTGTTGTTCACTGTATGATGGAAATTAGAACTAAGTTGTGATTTTAATTGTTGTATTTGTGA